ATATAGATAACGATTATACCTAGTAGAAAACAAGTATTTGAGGAATTTTGTGAACAAGTTGTGAGTGAGCATACAAAAACCTTTATTACTGACGTAGGCCATAGATGGAATTTAACTTATTTGTTATTAAAATCATGTATCACTGAATTTTATAACAATAGGCATGTTAGAGTCGAAAACGATACTATCTTGAATGAATCCGATTGAACTATAGTTTTTAAATTAAAAATTTTTGGCAAGTTTTTATGAGTCTACAAATATATTGTCTAGTATTTATTATCTCATTAGTTGTATGGTTCTTGAACGTCTTTATATAACTGCTAGGTTTTTATGAGATTTCAAAATGACTCAAATTTTCATGCGGTTATATATTCCATGAAATTAAAATTTAGAAAAATATTGGAAATAATTACCTATGTTATTTCCATTAGCATGCATATAATTTATCGGTACTAAATTTGTAATCGGCCAAATTTCAAATGTTTTAACTTTTAATATGTATATTACTTATAGGAATTTGGAACAAACGTTAAGTGAAATGTATGAATTATATGTTTCACGAATGAGTACACATATTGCTCGTGTACCAACAACTGCTCCTCCCACTAATAAAACAGACGATGTTGAAGTTTTTAATTTATTCGAAAACATGAACTCTATAGATATGATTCAACTGCATATGCACGTGGTTCCTTTAATAGTAGTAGTAGTTTATCTTCCACTGCATGTACTCAAACTTCGAGTAATAGTCCAAATGCGTTACCATTTGAATTAATTGATTACCTTAGTCATATTTTGCTTAGTAATAAAGCAATTAGGAAAAGTTCAGAAGAGGCCATTGAATTCAGACGAAATAACGAACGCCGATGGCCAATAGTTTCGCAATTGCAAAAGATCTATTAACGCCTCCAGTTAGCACTATAGCTTCGGAGTCTACTTTTAGTGCAGGGAAGAGGGTTCTCCCTGAGGTCAGAAGTCAACTAGAAGAATATATTTTGGAAGCGTTAATGTGCATAAAGGACTAAAAAGACGCAATTATCGAATTCAAGATAAATATACCGAAATTGCATGTAATCAAGTTGCTTCATTAATTTCTATGAAGATCCAGTTGCTTCGGAACGCCACAACTCTTGGACTCTATTACGAAGACTAGTGGAGGTTGTGCTCACCCGGTTGTATGTATAGACGATTTTAATGAAATTTTGATGGCTAACGAGAAATGGGGAGGCAGTGACAGTACCGAATTTTCTATTGAGGGTTTTAAGGAGATGGTACATGAATGTGAATTGAGTGATCTTGCCTTTTCGGGTCCGAAATTTACGTGGGCTAAACACTCTCGTGTGGATAATAATATTCTTGTAAGACTTGACAGGGCCTGCCACCTTCGATTGGCGTAACATGTGCCCCGGCTCTGGTTTCGCATCTCGAATTTTATGGTTTAGATCATCGTGCCATTGAACTCGTCCTACATCAAAATATTGGGGGACCTCCAATGATGAGGAGGCAGCGACAATTCAAATTTGAGCCACTTTGGCTATGTGAGACGGGTTGCATAGATGTTATACATGAAGGATGGAGTGTCCAATGCAATTCTCATGGGGGCAGTGTTGGAATTGAAGGGCGGCGGGAATCAATAATCATGCATGGGACTAGAGACAAAAGTGGCGATAATGGAAGAATTATTGGCAGTAACTGCATTGAAAATTTTGTTGGCAAAGCAGCGGCCTGTAGGGACATGCACGTCTAGTGGGGTGGAAATTTTAGGGGGCTCCCGACTAAAATTAAGGCGATCCGCTCAAAGTTGAAATGACTCAATGAGGAAAACTTTTCGGTGAAGACTTTTGAGAAGACTCGGGTAGTGGAGGATGAATTGGAACTCTTGTTAAATAAGGAGGAACTTTATTGGAAACAAAGATCTCGCGTGGATTGGTTACATCATGGCGATCGCAATTCAAAGTTCTTCCATAGGAAAGCATCAGCCCGGAAGTTTAATAACACTATGCATGGCTTATTTGATGACAATTGCAACTGAAGAACTGACAATGAGGGTATTGGAGATGTGGTGATGAACTACTTTAATATTTTATTCCAATCTTCCCAACCATCCCCTGATGACATCGAGTATGTTACCCAGTCCGTGAACCCAGTAGTCTCAGATCAAATGAATGGAATACTTGTGAAAGCTTTTACTGACAAAGAGGTGCGAGATGCCCTCTTTATGATGGGTCCTTACAAAGCACTCGGGCCTGATGGTTTTCACGCAATTTTCTATCAAAAGGCCTGGGAGGTGGTGGGTAAGGATTTGGTGAAGGTTTGTCTCGCGGTTTTGAATGGAGGAGAATCAGTGGAAAAATTGAATCCTATCAATGTAATTCTTATTCGGAAAATCCAAAATCCGACCAATATACAGGAGTTCAGGCCTATTAGCCTATGCAATGTGATATATAAAGTCATTACAAAAACCATTGCGAATCGACTGAAGATCATTTTAGGAGATGTGATTTCTGAAAATCAAAGTGCTTTTGTCCCGGGGAGACTTATTACTGATAATGTGATTGTTGGTTTCGAGATTATGCACTCCATCTCCCACAGAACCAAATGGCGTAATGGTATGATGGCGATGAAATTGGATATGTCAAAAGCTTATGATAGAGTCAAGTGGGGTTTTTTCTGCCATAATGCTAAAAATGGGCTTTAATGAAGATTGGGTGGGGTTGATCATGAGATACGTAACGTCTGCTACCTTCTCTTTCACGATTAATAGAGAATCCAGGGGATTTGTACGTCCAAGCAGGGGCTTGCAACAAGGGTGTCCTCTGTCTCCCTGTCTTTTCTTGCTATGCGCTGAAGGGTTATCCTGCGTAATCTCCAAAGCAGCACTTATGGGTCTTAAAGGAGTCGCATGCTCAAGGTATGGTTCTCGAATTAGCCACTTATTTTTTGCTAATGATTCTCTGGTTTATTGTAGAGCCAACACTCATGATAGTCAGCATATACTGAACCTGCTACATTAATTTGAAATGGCTTCGGGACAAAAAATAAATCTAATGAAGTCGGATATCACTTTTAGCCTGAATGTCCCTGATCATCAAAAGCTTAGTATTCTAGAGCTTTTTCGGTTGGAAACAGACAAACCATATGACAAATACCTGGGGTTTCCATCTCTTATTGGACGAAGGAAAGCTGAAAATTTTCAGTTCCTAAAAGATAGAGCGTGGAAGAAAGTGCAAACTTGGAAGCGTAACCAGTTCTCCTATAGCGGTCGAGAAGTACTCCTTAAAACGGTGATCCGGCCATTCCAACCTATGTTATGGGTATATTTAGAGTTTCCTAATCTTGTATGGAAGGGGTCCAAAAAATGATGGCGTCATTTTGGTGGGGTGGATCAGATATGAAACGAAGATTACATTGGCATAAATGGTCTCATCCATGCAAAAATAAGGCAGATGGTAGGATGAGCTTTAGAGACTTTCAATGTTTTAATCAAGCACTTTTAGCAAAACAAGTATATCGCATTCTTCAGAATCCTAACTCATTGGTAAGCCAGGTCATTAAATGCAAGTATTACTATAATGAGCACCTGTTATCAGAACATGTTCGAAGACACAGGTCGTTCCTATGGACAAGCTTCACGTGGGGACGTGAACTTCTTTTGAAGGGAATTATCTGGAGGGTGGGCAATAGGTTGTCCATCTCCGCTTTCCATGACCCGTGGATCCTCAAGGCAGTATCTTTCAAGTCCATGTCCCAGGCAGTGCACAGATCCATACGGTCTCTGACCTTATAATTGAAAGGAAGTGGAACCTAAGCTTATTAGAAGAGTGCTTCAACCTGGTAGACATGGAGGCTATCCGAAGTATCCCTCTTGGAAAATTCCCGACCCCTGATCTTCTGATATGGAGACACTCCAAGCATGGTGAATATTGTGTTAAATATGGATACTGGTTGGCATTTTCAATAAAGAATCCTGTGTTGGAGGTGAGTAGTAGCTACAATTCTGATGCTAAATGGTGGAAATATTTATGGGTATTGAAAATCTCACCAAAAGTCAGGGCATTCATGCATCAAGCTTTTAACGATATTATTCCTACCTTTATCAACTTATCACGCCGCCATGTGCCTATTTCCACGGTTTGTGATATATGTCATATGGACTATGAAACTATCTTCCATGCTTTAATTCGATGTGATCGAGCGTATGCCATGTGGAGCCAAGTTGGTATGGGAAAATTGATTCATGATTTCCAGGGCTCAGAATTTTCGGAATTCACCTATTTATCATAAGCTGAAAATGAATGAGTTTGAGAAACTGTGTATGACGGCATATCAAATTTGGAGTGATCGGAATGCCTTGTATTACGGTAGAAGTATCCCTCCAGTGCAACGTCAATGTGAAAAATTGGAAGAATATTTGGCAGACTTTCAGGCCACACAACTATTTCTTAAGGTGCCGAGTCGAGAAATTGCAATCCAGCCTGGAGTTTCTCGTAGAAGGTTTTGGAAAACTCCACCGACGGATGAACTTATTCTCAATACAGATGCAGCAGTGAACAACGAAGAAGGGGTGATATCCATTGGGGCTGTAATCCGTAATCATTGTGGGGAGGTAATGGGATTGTTGGGCAAAGTCGTAAATGGAAATTATTCTCCATTCATAGCGGAAATGTTAGCCATCAGAGAGGGACTGGAATTTGCAGCAAAAATTGGGTTATGGGTTCATATTGCAGAAATGGATTCCCTGCTCTCGGTCCAAATCATCAACTTTCATTTTCCATTCTCATGCGCTGAATGTAGCTGAGGACTGCAGACTTCTCATGACACGAATGGGAAATTGTCTTATTCAACACGCTCCAAGACGGACCAATCAGGTGGCTCATGAATTAGCGCTACTGGCGAAAATTTCTAGGCATGAATTTATGTGTTGTGAAGAGATACCAGAGTCCATTGTTAATCTGGTGAACTATGATGTTTCTCATATGAATGATTAATGAAATTTGCTTGTTCCCTCACGGAAAAAAAAAGTGATATTTAATTTCACTGCATTCATCACAAAATTTTATTTTTATACCTTTATAATTTTTTTTAAAAAAATTGCACACCTAACAAGTTGTTCGGGTACAATTTTTAA